GATCACGCCCGCCACATTCTGTAGTCCAACTTTTACGGCCTTGAAGTCATTGATCGGTTCAGCATTCTCATACGTGATAGTTGACGACTCCGGCTGATAGCTGCAAGTTCCAGGCACCCTAGCCCCACTGAACATCGTATCAACCCGCGAATGACAAGTATATCCCATCTACTACGTTGGCGGCGGCAATCTGATACGTGCTTGGTCTCTCCGTTTTGTCTAGATATCGTGTAATTTGTAGAATATATTATAGGTACGATATTATACTAGAAAATTATACCGGTTGGACGTCAGATATTTTCTTCTTTAACTGGTACAAACCTGGTCTCCACCTTTATCACAGATCAAGCCAATTCCATCAACGTTAATAGTGCCAGCACTGTGGCAGCATTCAAAAAATATAAAAAATCGAATCTTTTTTTTAAATTTCTAATCAAAAACACAAACGGGGAGGGCTTCGCTCATTCTAACCTACCCGCACTTTCGTCAACAGAATCAATCCAGTAACACACACTACTAAATTAAAACTAACCAGTTCGCACCTTGCGTAATATAGCTCATCAACACTGGCTGGGATCTATGGTAGCACATTCGGATTGAAGTATTGCTATTTTAGATCCCACCCGAGGCGAACCCATTGGCTCTACCGGTCAGCGAAGCCGACGCCGACCTGGTTTTCCATGTCCTGAAGGCTTTTGACGTTGCGAATTGGTAGGACCATAGCGTGCACTATTTGTTCAGCCTCGGGTCATAACATGTGTTACAGGCTGTTGAAATGCAGCTCAGATATGTGCGCCGAGGCCGGCGAGACTATCGCCGTGAAATAATCCTAACCGGGGAGGTGGTGACTCTTTTCGAGGCAAATATTGCGAACGTTTACGAGTTTGGTGGTCATCTAATTACGGCAGACGCTGCTAAACGTAAAACAAATGGCGCTGACGCAGAAGAATTTCTGTTGTGAGCTGACAGACCAGCACTTACGACCAATGCGCATCCGATTGTGCTTCTCTCGCAGGTTTGTATGGATTGG